CTTGCATTATGCATTGCATCGGTTATTTCCTACAGCATCATTTTCGTTACGTCTTACAAAGTATTCAAAACGCTACGACAAAATTCTATAGCGGCAAGGACTAAAATGCTACAGCGGCAGCTTACCATTGTCATGCTTGCGCAGGTACATAATTGCGGCTTTAGCAACTTTAGGAACAAACTCCTCCACTTTTTGCTGTTAACGAATAACTCTTTGTAATTTAACAAAAAATTCAAAACCAATTAATGAGACTCACAGTAATGGCACCCATGGGCATAGTGCCAAATGTTAGAATAAAAAATTGCTATTGTTGAAGAATAAGTTCATCATTAGGGTGTACGGTAGTTATGCTACAAAACAGTACATACACCGAACTAATGAGACCTCGGGGATATTACGAATGACCGAACAGGTGTTGTGGAAGAAACATTATGTTACTGGGGTGCGCTCAAGTGATGTCCGATGCATTCGCTCACTTGTTATCAGTTAGCATTTACCGTGTGCAAAGTACGCACACGATCTTTTCCGAAATTCACCGAGCAAAGATTATTTTCCATCTCACGAAAATGGGGCTAACGGCTTTCACTAACGCGAGTAACGCATCCTGCTCATCTAACTTGACTGTTGTGACTGCAACTATACATAGCGCACCACCAGGTTCTAAAATACCATACAAGGCAGAGTTTGCAACTACCAAAGAAGCCACCAAAGATAAGCTAAATGAAGTTACAGATATTATCAACGACTGAATTCAGACTTTTTATTTTTGCAGAGTGCTGCAAATAGCACTATGTTTCAAAGCAAAAATACAGCTCTGTACTATGATTTTTTGCTTTTTTTTATTTAAACATTTTGTAGAGAAAAAATCTCACTTTATGATTACCTAAAAAGAGCTAAAGTATGCGTATTATGGTAAGGTGCGTTCTTCTCAGCCGTAACGGTCGTTAAGGAAAACCTGAAATTGCAGGCAGCGACACCGATGATTTGCACTATAGTACCGATTGTGGTGTACTGTGCCGTAAAATTTTGCGGTATACCACTGAATGATTACGGCTCACTGGCAATGTCGCTAATGAACTGGCAGCCTTGCCTCAACCCAATGATTTCGCTGTATTTTGTGAAACCATTTAGGAACGGAGTTTTACGTCTTTTCCGACCAGCCGCTGTTACATCATCTACATTCGACATGCCAACGGCCACAAAAAGCAAGAATGTAAATCGAAAAGCGATCACCCTGGGCGCGCAAATTAGCATGGCAAAAAATATCCCACCTGTATCTTAATAACATTTTTCTTCTTGCGCAGAAGCCAGCTGGCCTTTTGATGTTTGTGATTACCAGTCACGCGAGAAAGTAAAATTCGTTGGAAAGGGTTTGTTGCTCGTATTGTCGGCAGCCAAGACACACCGCTCATCAGTGAGTGGTATCTGTACTCGGAGAATTTCGAAACATTTAATTATTTTATGCTCAGCTTATAAAAACAACTTGTCGTATTAGGTAAAAAACTAAAAATTCGCAATCAGTTCCGATGCAGGACCAAAATTTCGAAAAAAATATTTAAAAAAGGTATCATCATAGCAAAATAAGCAAACAGATATATGACTAAAAACATTCACATAAAAATCCAAAAATTCGAAAACCAATTCCTTTGCAGAAACGAAATCCCTGAAAGTAAAATTGTAGAAAAAAGCACTTATAATAGTGTAACAAACAATAAACAGACAGACATCTGATTTAAAAACATCGTATAACAAGCAAAGATCCAAAAAACCAATCCTCTGATTGGGAAAAAAATTTTTCGGAGACAGTGGTGCGGCGAAGCTTTCTTACGGGACTGTTCTTCGTTAAGCTGCGATTTTTTCAGTTTTCTATGACTGTGAATGCAAGTGCCTGTTTCTGCAAAATCACAATGACAAAAAGACAAAAATGTTTCTGAAAAATTCTTAGACACCTTGGAGTCCCGGCAAGGCAGTGAAGAATTATTTTCTTAAAAAAGGCCTGTTTATTCTTTCAAAAAAATTACTACTCTTCTAAAAAAGCAGTCCTTTAGAACAACTTTCTTACAAGCTTGTCTTCGAAGTTTCTTTTTATTTTTCGACCAGTTCTTTGTGTTTTCTGATTGTAGCTTTTAATTTTCTCCTCCTTTTTTTATAGTCAAGAGCATCAGGCATATGAATACAAAATAATGATTGATGGATACTGGGGTAAATAGTTCAACTGAAGTTTTATTTACAAAAAGTACACTACTCAAATTGCATTTGTGAAAACACTCTGGCCGCGGAGAAAAAAAATAATCAAGCAATAAGCTTAAAAAAGTGCAGAAACTGAATTCTGTTTAACTGTTGCCCTCCGGTAAATAATATTTAAGAATTTTTCAAGAGCACTAAGCCCATGCACTTTCTTCACACCCAATTAAAACTCACAAGCAACAGAATCGAATTTTACCAAAAAATAGATTACAATGCAATTTTAAGCATCGGACCCTATCTTAAGAAAAACTTTCCGCTTTCTTTTTTCACAGAGTTTTGTTTTGGCTTTTTGATGTATATTTTTCTTCTCTTTTTATGGCTTTAGCTGTTTATTGCTGGAATGAAAATATTTTGTTTTTTTGATGTATATTTTGTTTTGACTCTTCCTGCTCATTTTTTTTTCTTTTTTATTTTCTGATTTTCATCGTTCGCATTTCAGCCCACGTTCCATCCGCTTCCTTTTCCTTTTACAGCCTATTTTCATTATCAGATTTTTTGGTTTATCCTCCTTTTCGACTTCTGATCTCTTCCGCACTCTTCCTGGTACTTTTCTATCCTTTGCATTTCTTTTCCATCTGTACTTGTCTTTTTTCATGACCAGCTCTCGTTTTTCCTTCACTTTTTTCGTTTTTGATTCTTGATTT